TGGCCAGTTCGTTCAGCTGTCTCAGTTTCCCCATTTCATTTGTCAAATAATTTTCCTAGCTTTTTACTGTCCTGCCTCACTATTTTGATGCACATTGCCAAGTAATTCTCCAGAAACACTGATCCAATTTACAATGCCACCAACCCTGTACATGAATGCCTTTGTTCTCACAACCTCCCAAACATTAATATCATCCACCTTTTACTTTGTCACCTAACAGGATTACTCCATCATCTTTCTTTCCTAATAAAATAGGTAAAAGAGTTGAATCGAGTTTCATGTTTTTAGTGAGTATCTGTATTATTGTGTATATATACTTATTCTTAGATTGTTTTTTAGATTTTTTCACAGAAAATAACATTTTTTAAGTTAAAGCTAGTCCTATCCTTCTGACATATAAATATCAAGATATTTAATAGCTTGCTATTAAAATTATGAACCTGAAAGATCTAGTCCGTACACCTCCTAATTTCAAAACTTACTATAAAATAATAGTAATTTAAGTCAGTGTGGTACTAGGCTGGAATTAGGATGGACAAACAAATAAATATAACAGAAAGTCCAATAACAATTCAACTCAAAAGAATAGTACTGTGTCAATAAATAAGACTGATGAAGTTTTCTAAAGTATGCAAAATAGGAATAAACCTTGAACCTTCACAAAAAGTCATTCAAAGTGGAAATTCACTCAATGTGAGTATTAACAATGCTTCTAAAGGGAAACACAGAAGAATAACTCTAACATAAGTAAAAGTGCCTTAAACAGGAAACAAAAAAGCATTACTTATAAGAAAAAAAATAAATCTGATTACATCAAAATTAAAAACAAGTCATTTTTTAAAAAACTCCTTATAATAAAATAAAAACTACCAACTCAATTTTTAAATGTCAAAAACTCTAAACACATATATCATATAAGAGGATACCAAATGACCAATAATTGTAGATATTCAATGTCATTACTCACCAAGGAAATACAAAATAAAACCATAATGGGATAATATTGCACACTCTCCAAAGAGCTAAATTTTTTTTTTTAATTAACATACCAAAGTTGGCAAAAACATGCAACACTAAAACTCTCATTTATTGCTTACTGAACAGTAAAATCATAATAACCGGTTGGAAAACTGTTTGATAATTCCTACTAAATTAAACAACTATGTTCTCAAATATAGACCCAAAAAATACTCCATATCTACACAAATAGACATGTACATAAGCGTTCATAGGAGCTTTTTTATAATTGCCAGAAAATGGAAACAACACAAATACACAAAAATGGGAATGGCTGAATAAATTATGGTATATTTATGCAACGGAATGCTTTGCTTGAAGAAAAGACACTTATTAACATTAAACAACATGAATAAATCTAGCCATTACTACAGTATGTGAAAGTGTGTGTATGTATTACGCTTCAATTAAAAATCAACAGAAAAAAATGTCAATAGAAATTTTTGTGAAATTTAAGCTGGTTTACATTTACCTAAAATAGTTATAAATGGGAAAACGATAAGGAATGAGAAAGAACCATATTTCAAAGACTATTTTTAAAAAGACTGTTTTCTAACTTATTTTATGGTTAGTTAACACAGACATCAAAACCACCCAAAAGACTTTCGACACCAGGACAAGATTAAGACAATCAGAAATGATGTATAAATGTATAAACCGTTTTAAGCACTAAAGTTCAACCATACAGAAAAGACGTAAGACGCTATGATCTTTAAGAGAAACAAATTACATAAGGTGAACTCCATATTCAGCCACACCCCTGATAAAGAGGACATCTTAGTAGCAGCCAAGCGGGGGGGAAGCATATACACATATTATATTCACAGGACTACGAAACAGAAAAGCAGAACACTTGCACTGAGTTCTCTGGATTGCTGTTTAAAACAACTGTCAACACAGAATTCTATATCCAGCAAAATTTATTTCAAAAAGAGAATAGGAGGCTTCCAGTCTCTTCCACTGTTTATAATAAAAACAGAAAACAAAATGAAATAAAATAAAAACAAGTAACTACCTGAGAATCCTAAAAAATTCAACGAGAGCAAGTGGACTGGGAAGCGGTCAGAACTTGAAGAACGACTAATAATAAACAGACCGGCAGCGCGCTTCCTGGATTCCCCCGCTGCCTCCTGGACTCGCCCAGGAGAAGCCGAATCATGATCTAAGTAAAAGGCATGGGGGCAGCAGGACCCTCAGGGAATTACAACTTTCTGGCTTGAAAAATGCCCCTTGAATATGGGAAAAATAGCCAAGAGGTTTCTTTTTTCCCCTTTTTTTTCTCTTCCAACATTTATCAAATTTATACATAGAAGATAAACGAAAAGGATATTAATGCTCTAATAAACAGAATTCCAAGTTATTTTATTTTAACAGGCTGCAAAGACAAACAAATGTTTATCA